AGCCAGAGGACCAAACTCAGCCTCATTTAGAGTTCCCACTTCCTTTTCTGTCAAAGCTTGACGGTTTTGCTGCGAGTCTTCCACCAAACTGCACAACTCCAGTTCTTGCACTGTCTGTACATGCCGATACATTTTTTTCATGGGAAACATTGATAATTCACTTAGGGTTTTTGATTGAGGAATTGTACCTAAACATGAAGCTGCATTTCCTCTTTGAATCAGAATGCTAATTTTTTGAATCAAGAAAGAGGTAGCTCTTGGGTCATTCGTTTCTTTGGATATCCTAATGCCGATTTCACGAATGAACTCCAATGCTTGGGGGCCTAAGGTACCAAATGTTTCAATTCCTATTGCATAAAAAATGAAATTCAAAATAATTTTGGTCATGACAGGAAATGAGGCCTATAAAGATAACTTGTTTAATTATGGGATTAGTATTCTTCTGAGTTAGAAAATTATGAATAATGGTTATGCCATTAATCAAAGAAATGTTTGGAATAAATGAATAAAACTTGCTTTGAATTAGAAGGTTGCTTTTAATTTACTTTTAAACATTGACGAGATATCACCAAAACTATTGAAAACTATGCTTGCCTATATTATCACGCCTTTAACAAGCTTAATCAACTTATCACTAGCTGAAGGTGAATTCCCAAATTTATTGAAAGTTTCTCTTGTTTTCCGTTCACAAAAAAGACGATAAACAAGTGATAATTATCGCCAAATATCACTTCTAACAGAATTTTCTAAAGTCATTGAACGCTGTGTGTACAATATAGTAGTAAATTTTGTAGAGCACAATAATCTGTTAACGCAATCTCAACATGGTTTCGGAAAGAGTAAATCTATAGAATCAGCCACGTACCATTTAATGAATTTTGTTTATACTTCTTTAGACAAGGGACGATATGTAGTATCACTTATGTTTGATTTCTCAAAGGCTTTTGACTGCCTAAACATTGCTTTCATCTTGGAAAAACTCAGTTTTCGTGGTATCATGGGCACTATTTTGAAATGGTTTGAATCTTATTTGACGAACAGAAGTATAATTGTTAAAATGGAACATAGATTATCAGAGAGGTGTGCTGTTTCTTTAGGCTTACCTCAAGGATCAGTACTGAGACCGTTAGTTTTTCTTCTGTTTGTTAACGACCTTCCCAAAACGGTTTATATAAATTTTCATATAAAGAAAAAAATCCTGAAAATCTTTATAGCAATATGAATCTTAGTGATAGTGTCAAACTACTCGGTACTTGGCTAGACTCTGACCTCAGCTTCTCTTCTCATATAGACTTTGTAAACAGCTCAATAAAGCATATTATGCAATTGTTCAAATGAAACCAATTTTAGACAGGAATGGGTTGCTGAACCTATACTATGCATTTGCATATAGCCACTTATCAAATAATATTGCAACATGGGGGCTATCAACTGAGTACAAAAGAGTTTTTATATCTCAAAAAAGACTTATTAGACTAATATTCAATTTGGAACATAGGGAATCCTGTAGATCCACTTTTAAAGAGCACCGTATTCTACCATTCCATTCCATATTTATCCTAAAATGCGTAACATTTGTGAAAAATAACTTTGCTGAATTCAACATATCGGGAAGAAATAATAATTACTCTTCAAGAACATTTATTCTTGATATACCAAAGCATAGGACAGCAACCTTAAAAAAAAATCAACTGTATATCAATTTACAACAAGCTGCCAAAGCTTCTTAAAGACGTTAGCAGCTATGACAATTTCAAGAGCAAAACAAAGAAATATCTTTTAGAAAACTGCTTCTATACTATGGAAGAATTTTTCCAGCACTGAATGTTTACAAGTGGTTTGTGTTAGCAAATATTTATGTACAGATATATTTGTGAAGCTATTTGTTGTTATAAGTTTGTAATTGTTTTTCCTGACATCTATATATTTTATATACATATATTTTACTCATTTATGTTAGTATACCTATTCTGTGACCTGCCATTTGTACTGAGTGTAGTCAATATGGTTAATAAATACTACTACTACTACTACTACTACTATGTACATTTTTTATACTTAAACGCAAAACGGCGGAAAATTTCTAAGAACGTAACAATTACAAATAAAACAATACAAAGCAAAAAATTATAAATGGCAAAAAACGCAAAAACTTAAATAAAAAAATATTTTATCTCGATCTTCAGAGGATGAATCTTCGCTAAGGTCTGAACTGATGTAATCTGGTTCAGTGTCACTATCTTCTTGCAAGTTGATTATGATGTCGTCTATAATGAAATCTAATGTTGGTTTCTTTTCCATGAAAAACCGTTCAAAACTTGGAGCATGCTCGCATCGTTTCAGAAAACGTACTAAAAAATTCATCGCATAATCTTTCCACGGTCTTTAACCTAAAAGCCACATTTCTTTGCGCAACATATTGCTTTAAAGACGCCCACACTAACTCTCTAGAATTTAAATCATGGTGGTATGGAGGAAGCCTTAGAACGGTATGCCCGTGAGCGCTCATAATTTCATCAATTTTATACATTTTATATTGAGGTTTATGAATTTTAATTAGACTATACAAATCAATTTTTAACATATCTTCTGTAAAAGGTATATTTTGTTGCCTTAGCCATTCCATCATTTCGATCTTTCTATTACATAAAGTAGGAGTCTTATTTACCTGCACATTGTGATAGGGAGCACTGCCTATCACTTATTACGATATTGCAAAGTTTTAATGAAATAAATAAAAAATGTGTATGAATATTTTAACTAATTGTACTAAGAATTTTTCTTTCATTCTTAACCCTATCAAAAATTAATAAGCACGCCCCCGATTTGCTGTCAACTGGGATTACTTCTACTCTCAATCATTATTGGTTTTAGTATAGGTTTTGCATAGTTTCGGTATTGGTTGATCGATTTATCAAACTGTAACTGCGCTAATTATCTTCTGGTATTTTCATATTATTTCCAGACATAATTCCGATAATGAATGAGTTGAAAGCGAAATTGCACTGTTTCTTTTCGTCGCACATTATATTTTTCAAGCACGTTAAGACCGGAGTTAAAATTTAATGTGACCTGAACTGAAGTAACTTCACTGTTACATTGCGCACTGATTCGATGTGTATTACACGGGGTTTGACTTCAGACTGATATCACTGTTACACCACGCACTGATTCGATGTGTATCAAACGGAGATTGGTTCTGGACTGACTTTTCATCCTCGCGACTTCGAGTTTTTATACATGTTTTCTAAGATTACCGTGGCGTAGTGCATCAGGGGTTCTTGCCTCATGGTCGTACGGTCAATAAGGAGTATTATCCTTCAAGTTATGCGCCGTTTACGAGAAGCAAAACAGTTTTGCATTATGATAATGCACCTGCTCACTCGTTATTGCTTGTTAAGAGATCCATGAAAGGACGGCTTTTTGCGACGATTGAGGAGATGAAAAAGTCCATATCAGACATGCTTTGAGGATTGGAAAAAACGCTGGCACGGTGGATTTTATCTGAGGGGGACTAATATGAAGAGGAGATATTGATGAATAAATAAGTATTTTTTGAGAATAATGAAAATTCAACTTATTTTTTGGGTAGCTTATCTTCGTGAAATCACTAATAACGTGGCTCGTTTCTTGAAAAGGACAGACTTGGACATGGTTTACCAGACGAATAATAATCTGAGCTGAATTATTGAAAACAATGAAGACAAAACTTGTTGACTTGTGGTTCTTGCTCAAAACTTTATATTGGGCAAACGGGAAGAACCTTTTCCCAAAGAATAAAATAACATATGAGTAGTTTCTTGAATGTTCACATTTTCACAATTTCACATTTGCAAACCATCTACTGACAGCTATGACGTATTAACATTTCGAAGAGAAAGATTTGGAAGCCAATCTATAGAACGCTTAAAAATCAATAGATCAATCAATAGAATTCCCAAAATGTACTGAATGACCAAATGAAATTGACATCTTCTCCGTTTCTCAATAGGTTTTGTTATGTGAAAATTGGTTATTAGTGTTGAAATTTTTAATTAGTTTTCACCTAAATTCAGGTAAAATAAAATATAAGGTGTTTTTCAAACGGTCCAAATCTTTCCCCATTGAAAAATGTTACTATAGCTCATACTATAGTAACTTATGCTAGTCTACACTTTTCATTTGTGTGAGTTTAATGTTTATGTCTTTAATGTTATTTCATTGTTGCCGTACCTTTAAATAGAGCCATGGGACCTTCATGCTGCACAATATGCCTCAGACACTGAACGATGCTCAGGGAGTGGACCGGCGACGAAGAGTAACCTGAAAGAGCCACAACTTGAGGCCGTCCGAATTGACAACTTGTCCATAACCTACGCCTCTGATCCGGAACTGTTCGACAAGTAGTTTTCGGCAAGGGACTTTCGCCCGGAATGCTCGACAGATCTCGGGTTACGACGAATCCGCTCTTGGAAGACTGCTGTCGGGTTTTCACCACTTCCAGGGGACATGTTATGATGGCACCGGTCGTTCCAGCAACTCTAAAAAACGATCATGGGTTTACGGAATGGTTACAAAAATAATAATAATAATAATAATAATAATAAATGCTTTTATTGAAAGGTTACTCAG